CCAACAGTTGCAAAACAACCGTTCTGCTGAACGCAGCCACTGTTGAGTCTGCTGAACGCAGCCTATATTTTGCTAAACTTTGGTTAATCAAATGTCACTAGAGATTAACTCTTTAAGGCCGGTATTCATAGTCAGTTCTTATATTCAAGACCGTCTTAAGTTCAATCTTGAGATGTCACGAACCAATCAGAGGGCTGTATTAGCATCTTAATGCGGGATCTACAATAGAAATTGTAGCGGTCGTAGGATCTTAAGTCGTAGAAAATTGACCAATCACAGTTGATTATTCTTCTCATATTCGACTGTGATTGGTCAATTTTCTACGATCTGAGACCCTACGACCGCTACGACTTCTATTGTAGACCCCGCATAAGACGGTCTTGAAATAAGATCTGACTATGAATACCGGCCTAAATTGCGTAGAAACGAGCCATATAGGTCAATGAGAGAACAACCGCTTTAGCCGATTGGTCGATTCCTGACATATCCGTTCGTGAACGAGCGTATTCCATGCCCATCTAGCAATCTCGGTTAAACCTATGGTCGTAAAACGGACGTTGGACGTGCGTTTTCTTTCGGCTCTCTACTCTCCATTTCGACGTTCGTGCTTTGTTCTCGTTCTCCTCGCGACGATTGCGCGACGACCGGATGGTGGTATTTCCTGCGCCACGGACTGGCCTAAAGTGTCCTAGAGCGAGGATTTAAGGAATCCGAGACGTGTTTCTCGCGGCAGATCGGAGTACAGAGTTAGTGTGGCCAAGCGCCGTCCGTCGTGGAGGACACGAGTCCGCCGAGTCTCGTCACACTCGGCGACTTGAGAGAAATCGTCAGCATTGCGGGTGACGCCGGCTGCCTTGGAGCCTCGTTAGAATCTTGAGTCTCCGCTGAGGCCCCGCGCAGGCCTCGCAGTACCGCGCGACCAAGGTAAGAATGCCTCGCCGACGTCCCGTACTCAAACAGGACGCGGTTACGATAACGGTGCCGACCTGTGCTAGCCCCCCCCCATTCCCTCCACCCCCGCAAACCGAACGCCATCCCGAAAAAAAACTCACGCTTGCACACTCGCACATTCACGCCCCGCGTGTTCCTCACGCCGCAGCCTCTCGATTGCAGTAATCGTGGACTGTCGTGGACGTCGTCTTTCGTTTCATCGCGCGTGACTCTGTGCCGTATAATCTAAAGGAAGGGTTGAAACGACTCCCTTCATCCGGACTATTCCAAAAATACCTTTTTTTGATAGGTACCGCGTGTGATACGGAGATAACACGTGATCTGCGCTGGCATAAAAAAGCGAGGTATTGTACATTGTTTCTAGAAAGAAAAAGAAGACTTTTTTTTCAAAAAGTCTTTCTTACTACTTTAGGTATGTTCTTTATATAGGTGCTTTCTGGCAAGAAACAGGTGACATAATGTAACAGTGATTCAGTAGTTATTTTCCATTTAAACTAAAACAGATAATTCTCATTTGTGATGTCAGTTGAATGCATGTTGCTTTTTATTCTGACATGTGAGACTCAATTAAGTTTTTATCTACAATCTGTACAAGCTCGTGTGTTTTACTGAGTTGTTAATTCACATTAAAATTAAGACCACAAATCTGTGTTGTTATGCGATAACTTTATTGAATAAGTAAACAATGACGTCATTATCTGAATATAAAATATGTAACTTTAGATCACAGTCATTTGTGTGAAAATGAAAAGCAACTATTATATCCTCATTGTTTACCAATGTCAAGTATAAAATGACCACTGTTACGCTGGCTGTATTCAGCAAAGAGAACCAATGAGCATTCAGTTTAATATGATAAGTTCTTGCTTTAATCCTTCATTGAATCTAAATGTAGTAACTAATCATATTAAAGAATCACTGAGCACTTTTTCTGCTGAATAGACCCACTATGTCTCTTGCTTGAATGTACCATTTAATTAAACTTCTTGCACCATTTATCTTTTCTCTTTTCAACATGAAGAAAAAAAGAAGAAAGATAAACTGTGTCTATACTTTATCTAAAGAACATCCTGAAGATATCCTTAGGATGTAGAACATTTTCTAGAGATATCTTTAGGACATCCTTTGAAGATCTATGCTGAATGAGATGCAAGAAGTTCAGTTGCAAAAGAACAGACCTCTTTGTAGTGCCTTTTATCTCCTCGTGAACGAAAATGAATGTACAACTTGGACTAAAAAAAAGTCTTGATAAGATACACGATGTTAGATGGATCTAATGTACGCTATATAGGATCTGTTTAATGTAGAACTGGAAGTCGCTCCAGCTTTGATTATTAATTGAGCAATATTACTGCAATCGATACTGTGGATCCCTTGACGTTTTATAACACGTGCGCACAGTATAAGTTTTTTAAAGACTTTATCACAGAATTAACGCTCTTAAACGTCATCGGAATCATCGCAATGGCAAAGTTTAATTCTGGAAAAAAAGAAAGCCTTAAGGTGTAATTGTTTGGAAAATAGTCTTTTTTTTTTTAGAAAATAACACGAGCTTGCACTAATAGATGTTACTTATTATAATGAATTTTAATAACTAATTAATTGAATTATATTTTGCCAAAAATAATCATTAATATGATGCTGCTAGGATATGCCATTATTAAAGTTTCCTTCATATTTTCGTTATTCTTCAATTCGCCTCTCCCCTCTGGTCCCTTCCCATTTTCTTTCTCTCCCTTTAGGCCCAAAAAATATTCTTTCAGGTTGAAAGTTCGTTCGTTATAGTTTCGCTAGTGCAGTACAAAAAATACGGTTCGTGATTTATCGGTACTTTCTTAGTTTGTGTTGTGTTCAAGTTGAAAAGTTTAAAACGACACTCTAAAAAGTTCCGCGCGAAAAAAGTCCGAGTAAAAACAGTACGGTATTCGTATATGTGACCCGCAAGCAAAGTTCGGTTTCAGTAATAAAGTATAAAAAAAAAGTTTTGAATAAAAAAAGAGAAAAAAAAGTCAAAAGTTGTGATATAAAGAAAGTATGTTCGACATGATATGGATCGCGCGCGTTGTGCCATCAAGAGCGAATACTTCACAGACTCTGATTGATCCAGGTAAGCTCTGTGATGCTACTGATGCAGATTATTCACTGCTACATTCGGTCGGTACGCCTAAAAGAAAAAAAAAAGTTAACTTACCAAGTAAGAGGGAGATTGGAATGGGTTACACTTAAAAATCTTAATCAAAACATTCCCGTTCCCGTCCGTTTAAAATTGCCCGCCGCTTTCTAACGAGTCTCATTGATTTACAGGCTGAAATACTGTTCGACATGTCCGACTCTGGTACAGACAGTACTTCAACGGAGGGATATGATGAAGGTAATCGACTTGCTTCGGTCGGAGATGAGGTAACATCGTCACGCTATTCGCATCACTCTTCCGGATCGGAGCGACGAAAGTCCGCTGCGAGCTCCATCTTCTCCGGGGAAAAATCTCCCCGATCGCCGTTATCAGGCGGCGAATCCAAGTCGCCACGGTCTCCCCCATTATCACCGAAATCGCAGCGATCCGGGATAATGTCTCCTAGTGAGGAAGGTTCCCCAAGATCGATTCGTAGTTTATCAAAATCTCCACCGCCCATGTCACCGCCACAGTCACCCGAATCGCCAACATATCGCCCTCCCGCATCGCCGACATATCAACCGAACGACTCGCCAAAGTCTTACCATTCAGGAAACAACTCTCTTGACTCACCCCGATCGGACCGGAGTCTGTCTCGATCGCCCATACGGGACAACGGGTCGTGTCTCTCCCCCTCGAACGATTCTAAATCTATGCGCTTTGAAGATGCCGAGTCGAAGGCGTCTGACCTCGAAACAGATATGCAAAGATCTGTCGACAACTCATTAAAATCATACTCGTACAAGAACAGCGAGTCCAGACAAAGTTCACCAAAATCGCCTAGATCTGGTCCAAGTTCCGTGAAATCTTTAATATCAGCGAGGAGTTCACCGAAATCGTTCAAATCCGGTCCGGCGTCTCCTATAGATGATCACGAATCGGACAAACCCTCACCGGCGCATTCAGGCCCTCGGTCTCCCGAAGAGGAGAAAAATGGGTCCTATAACGAATTGGACGGCGAACAAATCTCGGATGGGGACATTGAGGACGAACCAGAGCCCATGTCTAAATCTAAACCTACACCTATGACCCATAGCGAGGATTTATCGGACGTATCGGATCTTGAGAGCATAGACGGTCCTGAAGACTCCACTGATCAAAACACAGAAGTAGACAAGATTCAAGAACAAACTGATAAACAAGAAATTACTAATGACGATGAAAATACAAAAAAAGAAGACAAAATTGCACCAGTTGGCTTGACAGAAGAAAGTGAGCAACTAGACTTTGAAGCCGATGGTCAATGGAAAGACGAACGTGACGAAGGTAAATACATAAATTTCAAATTTCAAATCCAATTTTTATACATTGAATGAAAAATTGTACTGAGTTAAATTACTAAGCATTATAATAAGATCATTCCATAAATGTTTCATTAAACGTATGTATAAAGTTGCATTTACTATAAATATGATAACATTATAGGTGAAGCTGAGGCCCCTACAAAAGAAATTAAAGATAATACAGAGAAGGATAGCAAAGATAAAGATAAAGATAAGAACAAGGACAAAGATAAGGCGAAATCAAAAGAATCTGGCGAAATAAACGATAAGGAAGAAGGAGAAGAGGGAGAAAAAGAGGAGTCTGAGTTGGAGGAGGGAGAGCTTAGCGATGGAGATGACGCACGACCCGAAGAGACTGAACCCAGACCAGTATGTCGCTTTTATAGTCGGGGCCAATGTACATGGGGCGTTAGTTGTAGATTTTTACATCCAGGTGTGACAGATAAAGGTAATTACACTATGTTCGATATGGTGAGGCCTATGGCATATCCGCCACATGCCACCGCGCCACACGAATATAGATCCCACATCGACAGACCGAGTATGCGATCGTCGATACCCGGTTATGGTGCTCCTACACACGCACCTAAGGTGGAAGAAACGCCGACTGAATCTGCTTGGGAACGCGGTCTACGCCATGCCAAGGAAGTAAGTTGGGTGCAAGATATTGTGCACTATGCATGTCGCATTTATAATGTTTTATAAATCATTTTCAATCTAAAATGTATATAATCAAATTTTAAAGAAAATATTTTCTCGCCCGATTATCTAGATGATGCGAAAGGCCAATAAACGTAAAGAATCGGACATGGATTTCGAAGAAAAGAAAATGAACTTGAGTTTAGGACAGGATGAATTGGATAGAGAAGCGGGATACTATGTAAGAGCTGCTAGTCCTGAGCCGCCGGTCGAAAGATGGTCACAACGAGAAGTACCACGCCGAGTATCATCTTCTAGACTAACGCCGGAAAGATATGTTGACGAGCCCGAAGGATACTATCCTCCGTCCGCGTCAACTGACTATTATAGGTGAGACAATGAAACAGTCGTATATGCCAAGCTCTCTAACTAGAAAGAAAATTATTTCTATATTGTTTATTATATAACAACTAGGCGAGTGCATTACAAAGAGTCATCACGCGAGTATCGGGATCGTTTTGATTATCATGCGATTCCTCGTGGTGCGCATTCGGTTTCTCCGCCACCCCACCATCGTGAACGCGAGAGAGAACGAGATCGTGAGCGTGACAGAGAACGTGATTATTACGAGAAGTACGAAAAGAAGCATAAGCGGCCGTCGCGGGAAGTCATTGTAGAACGAATCCCTCCATCGAAACCTTGGCGAGAGGAAGAACCACCTCCTACTGAAAGGAGTAGAGGTGACGAATGGGCGGATCCATGGATGCGGCGCAAGTCCCCGAGTACTGTACGCCGCAACACGTCGTCTCGCCGACAACCCCGGCGGCAGTCCTATTCTTCTGGATCTTCGTATTCATCAACGAGGTATTACCCATATTCGTATGCGATTGATAATGTTAGAATCTTACAAAGAAGTGCCTTATATATAGAAATTCTCGGAAGATCTGAAGATGACTTATTGAGAATACATTCAATAATACTTCTCACATGAAGAGATAAAGAGAAAATGAAGATAGTCGAGAATGCGTTGTCTGCATTTTTTTCAAAGTGTTTATCGTGCTACTTTGTTATATGTATAAAAACATATTGGAGTATCGTCTTTTTAGTTCTAGCCGTAGCTCCAGTCGTTCTAGCTACAGTTCTTACGACTCCCTATCCAGGTCTCGTTCACCTTCCCCTCCGACTAGAACTCGGTCTACTGGCAAAAGCAAGACCACTGTTCTTACTTCACCTCCTTCGAATCCCCCGGCTGTCCCCGCAGCCACGCCTCAACGAGGTGCTATGCTAATGAATCCTCCCGCTCCCTCTCCTCGTCCACCCAAAGGTTCTATCTCTCCCACAACGGGAACGCTGCATCGAAGGGCCGGACTGAATCCACCTGCCCCAAGTCCACTATCGTCTCATCGTCATCACGACAAAGCCAGGGAGCAAAAGGCTGCTATGGCTGCAGCTGCTGTGGCTAAAATCATTAAAAGTCGTTCTAGATCTAGGTAAAAAGAGATGACTCTTATTAATCAAGTAGTTAAATTGAAAGTGAAAGGTATAACTTTAAAAAATTCTCAATTTTTTGATGTTTTTACTAATTCTTGCGCTGATACGTGCGTAATCCGCTGCCAAATTTTAAAAAACTTATTTTAATAATATAACAAAGTTAGTATTATAAACTCATTCGATTAACAAATCTAATCTTAGAAGATATTTCTTTGTTGTGTTGTGTTGTTTATTAATATATTGTATAAAGATAAAGAAACAAGGAAAGGAAAAAAAATACATTTCAGATCATCTCATAGTAGTTCGGGATCGGAGAGCAGCGGAAGTAGTAGCGACTCCAGCGAATCAAGTTATTCGTCGTCCTCCAGCGAGACGCGTAGAAGAAAGGGTTCGACACCGCCGATACCACGTAAAGATTCCAAAGGTATCGACGCTTTGAAACTGAGCGGCGCGAAACAGCAGATTAAGTTAACGCTGAAGCCCACGAGCAACGCTACAGCCGTAAAAAAGATCGACCGTAGTGCACTTATGGCAGGTAAAAAGCGGGGTATTGAGTCACCACCGTTGATCGATAACAAAGCGCAAGTGGCCGCGGCGGCAGCTAAAGCCGCTAAGAAAGCGAGCTCACGGCGCGAGGAATTATTGAAGCAACTAAAGGCCGTGGAAGATGCGATTGCGCGTAAAAGGTCGAAGGTTTAAATCGACTCGATTAACGATAGCATGCGCTTTTCATGAACAGGGATTGAAAACAGTATAACAGTATAAATAATAAATATACATATATAGATGTGAACGAAAGAAATTAATTGATATAAATTTCGACATAACATATGTATACCGATATAGAAATAATTTTTCGAGAAAACTAGCGTTGTCCAATTAAATAGATTTGTAGCACGCTGTGATATGTATTTTACGAAAAAGATATTTAATGATGTATCATACTTATTGAGGGCAACTAAACTCACTGAAATTATAAATTATTGTTTCAATTGTTGAAAGATAAATAATGGTATAATTGTAATTAATTGTAAAATTCTAAACTTCCTTATTTCTAAACTTCCTTATTTCTTTTTTTGTAATTTTTTTTATAAAATGTATTTAATAATATAATTGTAATGTCGGTATACAATATCGGTATTGCATACATACTGATATTATGAAATTTTTTTATACATTTTTAATGATTATATCGATCTAAACTCCAACTGAAAAGTTTTATAAAAACAAAAAAATACACAATATCGGTATACAATTGCTAACGAAATTATCTTGGTATTCGATTTCTGTTCGTAAGTGCAGATAAATACGTATGTATTAAATGTTTATCTAAGTACACTGTATAATTTAGCTGCCATCATCACCATCACGAAATAACGAAATATGTGAGGCCTGTTAGATTGTGGTGGTATATATATAAAAGTTCTTATTTTTACAATACAAGGTAGATTCTATTATTTACGTTTTATTTCTTCACTAGACTTCTTTTTTCTTAGATAGATGCTTAAACGTAATGGTTGGTTATTGTACAGTCTCACCGTGATTTTGTTTTAATAACATTCGAGTGATTATTTTTTTGTAAAATGTAAAACATAAGAAATATATTATGCATAAGATGGGAAATTATCTTGCATCTGAAAGTGAATATATGCATAATTAGTTATCCAGTGTTAATAATTAGTTAATTAATTGAATTCCGTTAGCACATATGCATGTAAGGAATATAATCACGCGATGTGTTACAATTTTTCTAAAACAAAGCAGGTTTGGAAAGTGATGTTAACCAATGTAAATTGTAGTGTCTGTATAAATATTCTGTATTTTATTTTTATTCTAACATCAACGTATTAAACATCTATAGAGTGGATTATCGAAGATCTCTACGTTGCCAAATATGAGAATTATTCTTCAATTGTACTCGTAGGTAAAATCAACAATATTCATTTTGCTACAATTATTATACACAATGCTGCTAAATTAATGTTACTTTCCGCAAAGTAAGCAGATGTTGATTTTGCTAATACAAGCTAGTAGTAATCAATCAGAAATATATGCTGTTATTTTTCATTAATGGACAAGGAGTCTGTAACAAAAGGATAAATTTTGCAAGTTATGTACCTATTTTGTTATGATGATGTACTAATTGTTTTCTTTTTTTAAGCAAATGTTATTTTGCTTACGACACAATTTAAAAACAGGGTTCTTTTATTTTTGCCAAATTAAAAACATTCAATAAAGATGATAAGTGACCTGCGATATTAAACGATCTTTCGTCTAACAGTGCGGAAGAATAATTTTACATAATAACAGGGAATATATTCTCTCTCAAATATACAGCGATTGTACTGCGCATGAGGAAGAAAGATTTAATAAGAACTATATATTTTGTACTTTTCTTCCGTGTATAAATATAGCATGGCATATAAACTATGTTAATTTCATGTCGTACAATCTGTTAACTTAAGAAAAACGGACGCTTTGTTAACAACAGTCTTTATTAAATAGTAAGTACAAAACAAAAGTGTTATCAAAGACACCGACTTTAAACTCTATATAGATCAAATAAATAATGTGTCTTTTTTTTCTTCTTAATAACATTCCAGAACCGAAACAGGCACACACTCCTGTTTATTATCCTATAATTATAAATAATTTAAAAGCAAATTAGAACTTAAAACCATTCCGAGTTTAAACGAACTTGATTGCTCAAATTCCAATGCATACGCGAGTGTTTGAAATCTTTTACTTACGATTAGAAAACTAAAGGAAAGCACCTATACATATTTTTCAGACGAAATTATATTTTTTATAATTCTTATATTCGAATCGACCTTTGTACCAACATAAGAAATCCCTATATATATTTCCCGATTACTTATTTAAATATTATATATACATTTTATATATTCGCCACGGTGCAACGTTTCAATTATTTAAGTATCTATAAATGGAAATTTCGTAAATCATAAGGCATTATAAGTGCTATTTGGATATTTTCAGAATATTCAGTTCCTATGTAAAAAACGGTCCATGCTGCGCGATCGCCAAACTGCACTTTAAGTGAGGAAACAAGAGTGCCGATGTGAAAGTGATCGGTTCATTGAGGACGTTTTTACCCCCTCGTAGCAGATATGTCGAGATCCGCTTGTCTGAACGACGAATTCAGTTCCGAGGGCTCTTGCATTGTTCTGATCGGCATTACGTTCAGTGTGCTGCGTCTCACTCTGGCATTGATCTCTGGATTAATCTTTATCTCGTTGTACTTAAAGAGGCCATCGCCAGGTGCTGACAGACCGATCTTGGGCAGCTTGTACCACCATTGATATGTAACGTACCACGTAATGACCGCAGCTGCGCCGCCCAGGAATTTCTCGATCATGATGTGATAGTAAAGCATTGTTGATACTAACATGATATCCCACAGCAGCTGCTGCAACGTCATTGCCACAAAAAGACCACGTAGATACGGCGTGAGTGCCCGATGAGCCTTCTTCAAGAATCCCAGATCACCATCCGAGAGATTACGTAACGGGCCAGTGCTAGTCTCAGTTGGCACAGACCGCGTGTGCTCTTCCCGCATTATTAGATCCTTGATACCCTCCCATCCTACCAGGGAGGAGCCTTCTTCAGCAAGGATTAGGCTCGAATAAATTAAGATAAATGTGTGTCCAGATATATCAAGGCCACTCCAGAATCTACCCGACTGCAGGCACTTTGCCTTGGACTGCATGTGAATATCGCGAGTGCCCAGACATTTGCCATAGTTGGTTTCAATGTAATTGAACAGTTTTGTCCAAATCATCCAGGCACAAGTGGCAAGTATAATGCGGGCCAAGTGCCTCAGCAGGATCGGTCGACGGCCACAACCCAGCGTGTGTGCTGTCAAGACTATCCAGGGCACAATTAAGGACAGCAGCCAGCCCCAGCCCCACTTGACAAAGTACTGATTCAGGGCATTGTCGGATCTGGAGAAATAGGTGCGCGGCATTGCGATGAAGTCTGCGATCAGAGAGACCGTGAATATCGTGCCGCAGTAGATGGCCACCTTGAGCCGGGTGTCGAACAGCAGCGACTTCTTGCAGACGTGCAGCAGCATAGTGACCAAGATGAGGCCTATCGAACTCGGTGCCGCGGTAGGTCGAGTGCCACCGCGGTCTTCCTGTTGCGTGTTGCTCGGTCGAAAGTTCATCCGACTCGAGCGTGGACCACTGCCGGAGTAACCAAACGAGCCGGGGTTCCCGGACGACGTGTGGATGCTGCGTCGCTTACCTGTCGCCATCGCGTCTCGAGTTCGGTTATCGGTAGTCACCTAGAACCATCGCACTGAGCTAACCTCTTGGGTAAGGAAGACGTATATCGTCTTGTGGAGGTTTCCAGCGTGCGACTGACTGCCAAATCCTTTTGGTTTCTCAGCTGTCGTGGACTCCGGGCAATCTGCTCCGTCATCCACTGGTTGACCCTCTCCCCACCTCGTTACTTCGCATTACTATGTATGCCATGGATGTCCTTTGCTCCCAGCTACTCGGTGGCTACCTAGGTTCTTCTATGCGTAGAATGTAAAAGTGTGGGATGTATCTGCTCTTTGCAATGCACTATTAAGTATTTCCTGCATTTAAAATGAGACAGATGCATAATTAGATGTCGTAGAGAAAAAGATAGAGAAAAAAAGGTATAAAAAGTATAAAAAATTCGGCCATAACGAACCTCATGACGTTCGCTCATGTGGCGACCATAGACGCAGTAAATGTATAGTTATCCATTACCCAACTCGTATTTTAACATGACGGAAGTATAATGGCGGAATCTATAGACTATGCTCAAGATTCGAGATGGTCTTGAACTAATGCATGAACCAATCAGAGAACCGTATTAGCATCTTAAGACATTACTTGAGATTAAGGACGGAATCCATAGTTCGACATTGTGTAACACAGTCTGACTGTGTTCTTGCTGGAAAGCACCCAAGGTCAGATTATCTTCTTCTTAACTAATGAAGAAAAGGACGTGACTTTAGCGTTCACCCTATCTGGATTCACGTTATTGCAAAAACTCCTTGATCAGGGTTGTTAACGTTACCGGTTAGATTTTAAAAGGGATGAATAAAAATTCAACTGCAAAAAACGCTCATCTAACATATGAACGCGACTTCAGTACGTTCCGAAACTCATTTCGATCTCCCTGGCGCGTTCGCAAAACCCTCCCGTTAACATGAGCACGAGTCTCGTCTTTAGGTTTGTTCGCGTCGCAAGCTCCAACATGCTCCTACCATATTTCCTACTTACTCTATCAAGCGCATTGGAGTGAGTAAGTACCTATGGTAGGAGCATATTGAAACATGTTGGAGCATGCGACGCGAACAAACCTTTTGTATACTTTAGGGTCAGTTATCCTGACAGGGTGACAGGAACGAAGGAAGGAAGAGAGAGAGAGAGAGAGAGAGAGAGAGAGAGAGAGGGGTGAACGCCGCGACTCACGCACTTACGCCGGGACGCGGAGCAGAGATTCGAGTCAATTCGAGTGAACGTCGTGAACGATCGTTGATCGGACCTGAGTTGTTTGCTGCTCTCCTTTGGAATCGAGTGTCTCTGAAAGAGGAGAAGAAAACGGAAGCGTAGTATCGCCGTGACAACTCGCTAAAGAGGTTAATTTAAACGAATTACGCGATAATCCCTGCAGAAGAGGAAAGAGGCAGAAGAGGAGCAGTAACAGGTGGAACAGGTAACAACAAAAAGTTCTTTGCTCGAGAATCTGCGACGTGCGTTTCGCGACAATCGCGACCACCTTCGCACCGCTCGAGGGAACGTTCGCTCGTGTGCGTGGAATCGTTTCGGGAGTACGCCCGAATCGCACCGTTCTCGTTTCTCCGTTTCTCGACTCTTCGTAGTTTGAATGATCGGAGCACGAAATCGACGTTTCTCCGCGGATCGACGAGAGTTGACGCGACGCGACGCGACGCGACGCACAACCAGTCGATATCCACGCTAATTTAACGCGTAGCGTAGACAATCGGTCGACCGTCTCACTCCGTTTTCATCTCGCTCGAGTGTGAGAGAGCGGTAATGAATGAGCCGAGATACCGCTTTGACAGCTTTTCACAACCGACTTGGTTGACGAAGAGGATCGACGAAAACGAGGACGATCGACGAAAACTTCTTTCCCTCCCATGCCATGTGAGTCTCGCGAGTGGAATCTGTGTATCTGTGTGTGAAGAACTCGCTTGTGACGTTTTGCATTTGTCTACAATTTCACCGTTCTATCGCAATCAAGGAAATTGCGATTACACGCCCGAGTGACGCGTCTAATATACGTCCATTCGTCCAATGATTAACGCGAGATATTCCTCACTGTTAGATATTGAAGAAGCAATGACAATCCAGTTCCTTGAGTTAAACATTTTGTTATTTTTAATTTCCGTCAGAGTCAAAATGTAAATCAATTCATTTCTGTGGTTAGAGTCAAGACAAACATCGTCCTTATTAACGTATGCACTTACAAGCAAATAATAAACTAAATTTGAGTTAAATTTAATTCTTATTGAATTAATAATAATAATTAATAATAAATTTAATTCTTATTGAATGGTTAATATATACTGAGTCATTCGTGTCCTGCACATTTTTTTCTTCGAAAAACTGAGAACATCGAGTAATTAGTTATAACATTTATACATATATAATTTTTTTAAATACACAACCTCATAAATACTTTCTAAAGATATTAAAGATGTAAGAATCACTTAATAATCTTTGTATATTATTAAGGTGATGAAAATTAACTTAAGACACGAATAACCCATTGCGTGTAGTTTAATTATCGTGAATTATCGTGAATTATCGTGAATTATCGTGAATTATCATGAATTATCGGTCGGGAAATTATCGTGTGTACTAAAATATAAAAATAATACATTTTTTCTCTCTTAAATTGTTTAACTCCATCGTTTTAGTCAAATTAACGATATATTGAGTAGTGGCAGTGGCGACCTATAGATATTATTAAAAATAACTCAAATTGGGTATAATTTGACATTATGAATTTAACAATGGTTGAAACAATGCTAGATTAATTCGAGATAATGTGGATGCTTTCCATTTAATGACATAAGTCAACATAGACATAAGACATTCTATCTTTCATAACATTCCAGTGAGTAACAAAGATAGAACGATATTTGTGTCACCAAATGGAAAGTATTAATCACACGGCGATTATTAAAACCTTCTGTTTTGAAGGTATTTTTATCTCAAATAAAAATCTAGGCTCATAAGGAACATTATTGTCTTATTTTTTGAAGCTCAGTTCTTTACACAATTTTTTACTTTATATAAAACATTTCGTATATCATTCGCATTTCAATAAAGTTATTATTGTGTGTGTTAAGTTTTATTATTAAATTTACGGTCATGTTAAGTCTGGCTCTTTAAATGATCTTGAAAAATTTCATTCAATTAACGAAATGACTATCTAAACATTCTAAATAAACTCTAGATTGTTAATATTTAAAGAGTCGTTAGAAGTGTCATTCTAATAAACTGCCTAAATCAATTACAATTCTGGAAAAGTTCTGACAGTTTTATTAATATGAGTAGAGTTTTATGAAAAGAGAGTAGATTTTAGAAAATCAATCTTTAGGACGGGGCGTCCGATATGGCGTCGCGTCCGTCGAACTTTAACGTCTCCGTCAGAGTGGGTCGTTAGATTCGTATTCCGTATCTCTTTGCGACAACAATATTAGTTCTTCGCCTACACGTGTTTGCGCGTTCCATCTCCACGATATTCATCGATATTTCCTTACAGCTGCGAAACAAGACGTGGTTTCGGGCCTTTAAGATCCGCGGTTCTCATCTGGAGTGCCTTCAAATCAAACTTAATTAATCTCGCTTAACTTAATCGTCAATCAACCCTTCATAACGCCGTGTGTTACTTGGAAGTGTATCTAAATTTTTTTAATATACCTCCCAATAATTTAATCCAGTGATATGCAATCTGTGAGCCGCATGTGGCTCACTTGTAAATCTCGTATTAATTATATGGGAAATTGGATCTCGATGAAATATATTGGTTTTTACATATATTATAATGTGATGAATAAAAAATGTTCTGTATACACTGAAAAAAAATTTATTGAATTTTAATAAATATTTGTTTGTATAGTACTAACGAAATATTTACTTACAGTAAATAAACATTTATTCAAAATAAAAAATTATACTTAAATTAAATATATATTTACATTTAGCAAATATTTCGTTAGTATTATTCAAACAAATATTTAATAAAGTTCAGTAATTTTTTTCAGTGTACACATGGCTCAAATAATAATAGATAATTTTTGAGTTACGATGTATTAAAGGTATGAGCACAAGTTTTACACTTTTGATACATCACAAAAATTATTGACCCAAGTGTATACGTTTTGTGTTCATCGGTATCAAATTTTCTATATAATAATTAGTATGGAGTCCTTTTTTGAAACCGCTGCAAAAATAAAATATAAAATTATATTTTGTATTTTTTGTGTAAATGAAATAAACATTAGGCGATCCGAAAGATTTCATTTCTAAAAATAGGCCTCTGAAATTGATCTTAAAAAAATTGCGCATCAGTAATTTAATCAATTTTTTATTTGCTGGTGAGATCAATTTTTTCACAAGCTAAAGAAATCCGATTAAAGAAGATTAATTCGTAGGCAGAACAAATTATATAGTTAAAAGTTTCGCCGTAAGCGAAAATTTCCTATTGATTTAATCGATCGTCGTTTTTGTCATTAAGTTAGTTCGCCCCGATATGACACTATAATTTTATTCTGATGATGGCAAAAAGAATTCGCGTTACGTACGCTAGTGACGCGTGAATAATAATATAGCGGAATTCATCGATGAAGTATGAAATATGGAATTCATGAATGGATCATTAATAATGCAATACCAGACCAGAAGCGAATTTTTTCTTGAAAGATTTAAAATGATAATTAATTATGTTACATGCAAAGAACGGCGATAATTTGGAGCAAATTTAACTTTTTAAAGTTTATGATATACATAAATCTCCTGATAATATAATATTGATAATACTCAATATAACTAAATTCTTTTCTCTAAATTAATTCAGCATGTACACCAAGTTATTAAATAATTATTTTTTATTATAATGATGTAATAATATAAGACATTAATAATGATGCTTTAATATTTATTATGTAATTACATATTATGTATTATTAATAACATATTACGGTAAGTTCCGGTGATTTTAGGGATTAGCGTTGCATGCTCGATAAAACGCGATGCTTGCCACATTGCATGAATTTATAAGCATTTTCACCCCATCTTTTCCCACCCGCATCGTGGGAGGACTTAACGACCACGTGCACGGCCGCACCTCACGCTGTCGCTCGCCGCGAACTGTCACCATCTATTTCCAGGCGGGGTGACCTCACGCTGCGAGATTAAGTAATTCCCGCGGCACGCGTTTCGAGTGACATAATAAACGGAATGCCGCGGTCTGTAACCCGATTCTCGAGAGCATCTTCGAGAGGCTTGCAATCTCTCTGGCGGATCGCACATTTTCACAATTCGCTCACAAATGCTGCTTTTCGTTTAAGAAAAGATCTGTTTTTTATCTCAAAAGTCTATTTTATTCATATTTTAGATTGCACTAGAACTCTCTTTCTCACTTTTGTTAAATGTCAAACGTACACTGTTAAATATTAAAAGAACAATGGTAACTCGATTCTTTGAATTAAATAACATTTTGGTATTTTTACTTTTATATGTGTCGAAATCTAATTAAATTAATCCATTTCTGTAGTTACTG